TTTTTCGATGACAATTGTAATGTGTAAGAAGTTATGACAATTGATAATTTTTTTTTTTTAAAAAAAAAATCTTGAAACATGTAAATTTATTAGTGTAATTAAATAATGTTTCTTTATCTTAAAGTTATAAAATGCTATATTAATAATAATAATAATAATAATCAAATTAAATAAAAAGTATATGAAGTAATTCAATGAGTTACTTGAAATGTATATTTTAATTATTTTATAAGATTTTCTTATATGTAAAATTTAGATAAATAATGGCTAAATAATATTATTAATATCTATATCAATCTGCAAATAGTTATAAATAATTTATAGATAAATTTAATAATATATACATTACTTTTTTAAGTAATGGTAAATGTGAACTGCTAAAATTATTTTTAATTTATGTTTAAAAATATTTTTAATTTCAATATAGAAATATTAAAAAAAAAAAAAAAACAAATTAGTAATAGATTCGATTTAGTTTTCCTCGTTATATTATTTGACATTATAAATTTTCTTTTGTCTTGATAATATTTTAATTTGTATTCGTTCACTTTGATTTGATGAAAGTATTATAAATTTTTCAAATTGTTTTTATCTTTTAACAAGGCTTTTAAAAAAAGGAATGATATTTTTAAATCCAAAAAATTTACTGGATTCAAATTAAGGAATAAAAATTTTTTTGATAGTGCATGTAAACATTTTTATTAGCAAAACTTTACTTTATCGGTAAAATGTTAAAAAATTATATGTAAAAAGTATAAAATCAAAATAATAAAATGCTAAATATAGAATATTATTTTGAATAATTATTATTGTGCACCAAGTCAGGTAACAAATATAATCATAAAACATGTTTTTTATTCTAATTTTTAATTAGGATATATAAAAAAAATTTTACTAATTAATTTTATTATGACACAATTTTTTATTATTATTTCTATATATCTACCATTCATTTACTGTTTTAATGTTAAGTTACTGTTTGTATTGTTATTAGTAACATCATTTCCTTTATCATTATTATTATTAATATTATCATTAGAATTAGAGTCTTTAATAAATTTTTTTTTATTATCTATTTCCAAATTTTTATTTTTAGCTTCTTCGACAGCTGCTTGCTGTTTATTCATGTCTTCGATTCTCTTATTAATTATTTCAGGTTGAACTTCCATATAAACTTGCATAACTTTATGATTAACACTAACATGTTTTTTTGTACACATATCTACACAACCACATTCATCTTGTGATAAGTCTCTATCGCTTAAATGATTTACACAATGCATAAAACATGATTCAGATATTTTGTTATATTGAAGAAGGAAATCTCTAAGCTAAAGAAGATAAAATTAAATTTTTTAAAAAGCTTTTTTAAAAATTACATACAAAAAATAAAAATAAAAACTAATGAAAAAAAAAAAAGTTGAAATTCAGAAATGAAATTACATTTTTCAACGCCGTATTATCCATTTTAATTATTTAAAATTAAATTTTTTTCACATTTAAAAGTACAATTTAACACTAGGGACAATTCCACATGGTAGCAGACGACATTACATAACATTAGCCAACAAAATGGTTATTGAAATTTTTATTATGAAGTGGTTATAACAGTGTTCTTGTAAGAAATTTTAAATGAATTTAAATTTAAATTTAAAAAAAATTTATTTAAAGTAATCTATCACTTTAAAATTTATATCGCTCTACAAATTGCAAATGTATATATATACGTGTACGCAAAGTTTAAAATTTTAAATTATTTTTTAGGAATATTTAAGTACTGTAAAATATAATATATTGTGTATAAAATAATTTAATAAATTTTCAATTAAATATGATAATTCGGTTTCTAAGTTTTAAACAATTTTAGAAATAATTTTAAACGAAAAAAGAATTTTTATTAAATTTCATGTCATTTTGTCACTGATTAATTTTGTATTTTTAATAATTTTATTCATAAAATGAAACGAGAAAAAAACACAAAAGGATTTTAAAAAGTAAAAATTTTTTTTTTAAATGATGATTTTATGGTAAATTTTAATTTTTATTGAATAATTAATTGCTTTTTTAATTATTTTTAAAAATGAAACATGTAAAGAATTTTACTCAAAAGGAGATTATTTAAAAAATTTTTTTGTTTAACTTTCCAATTATTATCATCGCAACTAATGCAACAATTAGCTTTTTAAATATTTTTGAATTTTGCCTAAATGAATTTTTTATTGTTGTTCCGATTATAAGTACTGAAAACAAAACTAAAGGAATTTAAGAGGAAAAACTTTGGAAATTTTTGTTAGAAAATTAATTGGTAAATTAAATGACACAAGCAGAAGGAAATAAATTTCACTTATCTTAAAAAAATTGATAAAATTATATATTTTTCAAATTAATTATTGATTATCATACATTAAACAAACTTTTTTTTTTTTGTGATGTTAAACTCAAATATTGCACTGATCCCAGTAATAATAATACACTTCATTTTTCATCAAAAATTTTATTTTCTAAAATTGTTTCTTTTGACCCTAAACTGAAAGGTTCTTCGATTAAAAAACTTTTAGAAACTGAATCGAGAATTTTTTCAGCTTCATCAATTTCTTTGTTAATTTTTCTTGAAATATTGTATTGACAAGTTGAATGTTTTGTTATGTCAGATTTTCTAGAAAAATGATTGCCACAATATTTACAAAAAAATCTTTTATTTTTATAATCATGAATTTTTTTATGTTTAATCAAGTCATATTTTTGTATATAAGCTTTTCCGCAGTCATCACAGACATAGTTTCTTTCACATGAATGTATTTTTTTATGAACCTGTACAAATAAAAAAAAAAAATTGTTAATGTTTAAAATGTTGTTAATGTTTTTAATGTTTAAAACTTAATTTTAAAAATTTAAACTTACTAGCAAACTAGAATTTCTTGAAAATTTTTTACCACATTCTTCGCATTGAAACAATTTATTTTTTGAATGAACATAAAAGGTGATTTTTTAATGTGCTTGAATTTGTAATAATTTTTCACAAAATGTACATTTAAAAGGATGTTCAAATGTGTGATTTTTTCTTTCATGTATAAGCTGTACCGAACGAAGAGAAAATTTTTTATCACAATAATTGCATTGAAATGGTTTTTCTCCAGTGTGAGCTGCTCTCCTGTGATAAGTCTAAAAAAAAATTTTTTTTTTTTTTTTTTAAATATGGTTTTAGTGATAGTTGCGAAAATAACAAAATAAAAATTTACCAATGATCCTGAATGCTTAAATTTTTTTCCACAAAGCAAACAGGAAAATGTTTTTTGATCTTTGTGAAAATGTTTAATGTGTGCTTTAAGGAGTAATTGCTCTGAAAAATTTTCTTCACACATTGGACAGCATATTTTTTCCAAATTTGTCGAGTCATTTAAAATACTATTTTCTTTTTCCTATGTAAAAAAAAAAAAAAAAAATTTATTTTTTATAAGGAAATTTTTATTTTTTAAATCACTCAAATATTATTTACCAACGAATTATTCTGATGATACTTTTTTTTATGTTTATTCATGTTTCCTTTTCTATTGAATTTTTTCCCACAAATATTACATGTAAATTTTTCTTCAGAATGTGTCCATTTGTGCTGTCTCAAATGAACTTTTTCTCTAAATTCCTTATTGCAAACTAAACATTTATAAGGTGTTTTTCCTGTATGAATATTCATGTGTTCCTGCAGGAAAAAACTAAAATTACATCAAAATAATTTTTTTTTTTAATAATAATAAAAAAAAAAAGAAAACCATTTTGTAACTTACATAAAACTTACTTTGATAAAAATGTTTTTTTACATAATTTGCATGCATGAAGTTTTTTAATACCCATATGAATTTTTTTATGACATTTTAAATTATTTAAATGTCTAAAAGATTTTCCACAAATATCGCAAAGATATGGTTTTTGTTGTGAATGAGTTGATTTTCTTTTTTCACTACTTTTATTATCAATTGTATCACATTTATTATATTCTTCCTATAAAATTATATTTTAAGGTAACTATACATTTAATATGAAATTTTTCTTTCGATATAAATAAAACAAAAAGATATAAATATATCATTATTGCATACTCACATGGTTTGACACTTTGTTAATCTCTTTATTTTGAGTTTTTACTAAACTGAAATAAACAATAAATGTATGTAAATATTATCTTACTAACGTATAAATTTATTTAAATTCATAAAACTAACAAAATTGTAAGGTTTCATAAATTATCGAGTGGGAAAATATTTATAAAAATAAATATACCTATTTTGAACTTCTCCCTGTTTGCTATCATTTTCATTGATTGAAAGTAAGTTTTCAGGTTCATTTAAATTTGAGTTCTTTATATCATTTTTATTACATACGACAGTAAAAAATCCTTTTTTGCCAAATTCATCGACAGCAGGTTTTGTAACACAAAATTTATTAGAAACTAGTACACTTTTTTTTAATTGTGTTACATCTTCCGAATTACCATCAGTCGTTTGTAAAATATTAACATCATTAAAATTATTACTAAGATTACAATCAATTTTATCTTGGTCAGTTGCAGAATAATTTTTTAATGAGCAATGTCCAGTTTCTTTTAATAAAATTTTCCATAATTTTTTTAGACTTTTATCAGACTGGTTAGCGATTTCGTAAAGCAAATAACTGTTGTTAATTTTAAAAAAACAAAAATCGCATACATTTAATGGCAAATTATCTGTCACGGTTACTTTTATTGATAAACATTTGTTTATTTTTTGTGCTAATGTTTCGTCTTCAAATATCGGCGTAAGTTTAGAACATTTTTTAGCGCAAATCCGGCAAAGTGTATTCATAACATATTCTGGAATTTTTGTTAAATCCATATTTTTTTTTTTTTTAATGAATAATAAAAATTATTAATAATTGAGAACGGTTAGATTCCTTTTAAATGCAATGGGATGAATTTTTGAGAGCCATCTTAATTTTTCTTTCCTTTGACGTTTGCTGTTCGGTTTCGCCAATCATCGGGCGTGGTAATTTTATGTTCGTGTTCTTCTGTTTAAGGCAGCGCGTTCGGGGAATAATTTAAAATAAAATTTTTTTGGAGTAAGATTCAAGTATTGAAGACGTATTTTTTAAGTTCAATTAAACAAAAAAAAAAAAAAAAAAAATTTTTTTTAAATAAAGTGATATATGTGTGATTTCATGTGTTTTTCTCTATTTTAAAATTATTTGTACCGGTTCTCAGTCAATTGTGAATTTACTGAAATTTTGTACACGTAGCGTAACACATTAATTTATTAAAAAAGGCTATTAAATTTTTTTTTAACATTTATATTATTAAAAGCAACTTTTTTTTCATTCAATTATAATATAATTAGGCACAAATAGTGATAATTTTTACATATACAGTTTATTTTTCTTTAATTTACAAGAAAACTACAAGAAAATGGATGTTCAAACCGGCTTAGTATGCATATTAGTATTTATTATTTCTGGAGGTGTTCTCCTTTTTATCACAAAATATGGTATGAAAGAAAAAACCTATGAAGAAGCTATTGCCGAGCAAAGAAAAATGCCTAAGGATGTTCTAGGCCTTGGAAGGCAAAATAAAGACAAAGGAAAAAATAAAAAACAAAAGAGACAGGGTAAAAAAGCAAAAGAAAAAACAAGTAATAGTAAACCAGTACCTGAAAAAAAAAATAATAGTAAATCGTTAAATGCGAATAATACCAAGGTAAATTTTAAAGAAAATGAGCCCAATCATGTGAATTTTTTAACACCCGAAGCAAAAGTATTGAACAAAGTAGATAATTCAGTTAAATCTGAAAAAATTAAAAAGAAAGAACAAATCAAACCTATTTTGGTAACTAAAAATCAGGCAGATGTAAAAAGTAAAATTGGGCAAAATGATGTTACTGTTAATCATTTCAGTGAGATAATTCCAAAGGATGATCTTCAATTAAAGCTGATAAACAAGGTTAGTTAAATTGCCAATTTATTTATGTAATTAGTAATAAGTTAAATTTTATTTATGAATAAAAATCAATACAATAATAATTTTTTTCCAAGTTTTTTTGATCATGAAAAGATTGATCTGGGTCATTTAAATTAATGTTAAATGTATAACTTATTATAAGTTCAAGGTATGCACTATAAAAAACAGTTAGTAATTGATAAAATATATTTTTAAAAAAGCATTCCTTAATATAAATGAAAACTATTTTGTAATTTACTCTCATAAGTATAAATTATAAAAGAATTATTTTTATAATAATTTAAATATATAAAAATAAATATTTATTTTTTATTACAGAAAAATAATCAGCCTTTGAATTCATCGCTTAAAAACCAAGCAAACTTCAAAGAAAATTTAACAGTTGAAAAAATAAATTCTAATGATAATATTATTGTAAAAGATCCTTTGAAAAAAAAACAAAACAATCAAAGTGAAAATCAGAATAATAATAATGATAATATTAAAAATGAAAAAGAAATTAAAAAATCCGATAAGAAAAATAAAAATTCAAAAAATAATGGAGATGATAATATGATTGATGATGCATTGAAAAATAAAAAAGTTAAAAATGAAAAAACTCAAGATTCCATGAATACAAATGAAACCAAAAATGACCAAAGTCCGAAAAGTGTGAAAACGAACAAAAATAACAAATTGAAAAATGATGATCAAAGAGTACAACAAACGCAGCAACAACAACAACAACAACAAAAACTACAAAATTTTGAAAATTCAAAACACATTAAAATTGAAACGAATAATGGTTTCGATGTAAATGCTGAAAAAATTCCTGTTCAAGTTGTCAAAGTTAACAACAGTAACCAACAGCAATCTCTGAGCAAAAAACCTAAGAAAAATGAATTGAGTTTCTTGCAGCAAATGAGTAGGTTTATTATTATTATTAATATTTTATTTACCATAAGATAAAATTTTTTTATATATATATTTTAAAGGTCAAATTAAAATTTGATAAATTATCTGGTAGCCATGTTTGGTCTGACTGACCTTTAACATGTAGATATCTAATTATTCAAATTGAGGTGTTATTTGAATATTTTTACTCTTTTTTTTTATTTTTTACTTCTCCCCCCCCCCCAAGAGTTGTCCCCTCACATGGTTGTCATTTCTAACATAAATAAAAAATTTTTAACCGATAAAAGTACGATTTTCTGTGATTTAGTTAGAACCATAAAGTACTCTTTTACAAATCATTTTTTTTTTTTTTTTTTTTTTTTGAATTAAAAATTTTGTGTTAGGGAAAAAAAAAAAAAAAAAAAAAAAAAACTTCGTTTCCTTTTGCATGCGTTGTGTTGATGGGAACCGGAAACGAAAATATCGAAGGACGTAATAATAATAATAATAATAATAATAATAATAATATGCCCACAGGAAAATTGTATTGACTTGTATATGGGTCGATGACACATAAAAAGTGTTTTATGTAGGTTTGCATATTGTGGGTTGTTTGTTAATATAATTTCATTTAAAAAACGAATGCCAACTCATCATCACAAAATTGTCGTTT